CCCCCCCCCCCAATAAAAAGGAAACCCCTAAAAGTTGATGAGTCCATGAATTGGTCTCAAGTGAGAGGAAATTTGTAATGACTTTTCTTTGGTAAAATCATCACTCCCTGAGGGGAAGTCTCTCAAACTTTTGATCGATCAAAACCTGTGCCCATTTGAAAGTTTAATACGCCCACGAGGTCGTCTGAGTACACGACTTGTCCACATTGTACTTGATTCTGCGTCGAATCGCATTTAGGAACGCTTTCAATTTTTCCACTGCGTTCCGCCATGTCAACAATCAAATGCTCAATATTTTTTTCCTACATGTTTCCACACAATATGTTAATATTTACAAGGGTCAACAGTTGACAATAAATATCAAATTGACGTGCAAAAAATATTTTTTAGCAAACAAAAATTATCCATCCATTTAGTACTGATTGTTTGTGTTTTTCCAATGATATTTAATTGTTTTCCTTTGGTTTGTCATCTTTACTGGACCAAAATGATATCTCCAGATAAACAAAATAGGAGAATAAATAAAAATAGAACAAGGAAAATGATTTCTTCCGTCTCTCTTTGACTATGTAATGAATTATTTTGACATTTCATGCAAATAAAACGATTGAATTGCATGACTAAAAAAAAAAATTAGTAGAATGCCGATAATTATGACACTTACCACCACCTGAATTCCAACAATTGTCAGTCATCCCTGTTTATCCATCTGTAGTGTTGGCACTGTGTGTTTTTCTTTTTCTTAATGTTAAAATTCAACTTAAAATCCACACTCAACAATTTCTTCGTCCTTGTACTTGGTTATTATTCATAAATAAATTAATCAATCGTTGTTACGATGATTATATCACCACTGGGGATATGATCCCATAATAACATATCACTTTTTCACGTGATAATCCTTCAGTCCACAATTTAATCATGTTAAATAATAATTCATTTAACCAGGACCAGGGTTAATCCACGTTTGTCACTTAATCACTAGTTTTTGTAGACATTATCATCTGTAATACGATTTCAAAATATAATTATTTCATTCTATAGGCCTTCAGAACGATGAGCATTTCTTTTTCAAAGACAGGTCCGCGCAAATTCAGATGAAATTAAAAATTATAGGTAATATCTTAAGAAATGTTTTTCATATTTTCTGGAATTGAATTTATTATTTTTAAATTTGAGGTTATGTTTCTATTCAATACAGACAAAATAAACTCAAAGAAAATCAGCTTGACTGGCAGAATAAAGGCCCCGAGTTCCCCAAATGAATAGAAAATTAATAACTAATAATTGTAATAATATCCCTGAATGCTTATGTTCTGTGTTACACACGTTTCAAATATAATTTCGCAAGTCCCTCCCTCACCTGGCCCTTCCAAGTGCACTCAAAAATCTCTTCAAACCTAAATAAACCTCCCCGAAGTGCCATCTCCCACCTCTCAAAGCACGGAAAAATATCAAAAATCACAAAAAGAAAGATTTCCCAAAGAAAAGAAGAATCCTACAATTAATTTAATTTTACTCTCAAAATAAAAAATAAACTCGAAAAACCCATCGATTCACTCCTCTAACATCACTGAACATCACAAAAAATATTCAACAATATATCATTGAATTAATTTGCGAGTAAACACTCGAAAAAAAGTGAAAAGGTGGTCTTCATCTAGAAGATGGCCGCCACCGCCCGCTCTAGTCAGCGATTTATCCCTTTACTCGTATGTCCAACCATACGAAACACGTCGAGTAGAATAGGGCAAAGAATTCCATCCACCTCCCTCCCGCCCCTTCATCGTATCCCTCTTGCCTCTTAAAACCCGTCAATTGGTGGCATCGCAAAACAGCAACGACAGAACTTGATGATTAAAAACAATTGAATAAAATATTGCTATTTGATATTCTAGTGAAATGTCGAATCTTTCACGGTGAATTGTTGGCTTGTTGTGTTCATTCGCCCAGTTGAGTTTATTTGAGGGAAAATAAATTTTTAGAGATTTACTATGCTCGAGTGACAATTTTTCAGGGTTTAAGACAATTTTTAGGATTCATGATGTTATTATACCTCTGTCCTTGTTATTAGCAAATAAAAAAAATGAGAGGATTATTTTTATGTAGGTGAGACGTTTACGAACACTTTGGGACGTTGCTCTTGGTCTTCCAACTGCTGCAACGCCTTCTATACACACCGATGTGTAACACAAAATATTTCAGTCGCTTTTTTGCACTCATAAAATTTTTACGGTTTATCCATTATTGTTCTCCTTGATTTTTTCATCCACAAATACACTTTTTACACATTATCAATGGAGCCTCCAACATCCCCCACAACTCGTCACTCTATTAGCATAATGATCAACAACAACTCGGAAAAATTATCAACCATTTTCTATCATTTTTCGGCTGATTTTTCCACCCAATTTTCATTCACAATCAAATGCGTAAATATTTTAGATTATCCTTTAAACCAGAACACCATCACACAAATCCACATTTCTTATTTAAGTTGTAGATAATTGAAAGTGTTTCTGATTAACTAATTTATTAAAAATCGTATCTGTTTTAAACGTTGGAAAATTATTAATGTTTTATTTTCGTTTTTTTACTAACGCGAAGTTTTTACGTTTACGATGAAACGTGTGACGACAGTTACATACCGTCCAAGCGTACTACGGTGCCCCCTTGAATCAGGGGGTTCTTCAGAGAGCAGAGAGCAGATTCGGGGTGTTGCGCGGAGTGGCGAAGGGGAGGGGGCGGTACTGTCGGAGAACAAGGAAGAGGGGAGAGACCATCGGCTTCAACTAGACTAGAAATTTAAATTCGGTGGAATTTCTCTGTAAGTATTTTCCTTTAACTAGGGGAGAGAGGGACAAAATGAAGCAGTCGAAAAACGACTGTTTGACGCAATTCAAACAAAAAAAATTTTTTTTATCAACTTTTTTCAATTCTTGGGAGTATTCCCAATAATAAAAAAAGTTAACAAATAAAGTTTAACAGAGAAACATTTTTTTGCTTGAATTACGTCAAATAGTCATTTTTCATCTGTTTCATTTTGCGCCCCACTTTCCCCTGTAAATATGTAATATACCATGTTATTAACTTTCGTGGCGAAGGTGTAGGGGGATTACAGTTTTAGTGGAAATACTTGAAAGGTTTTAGTGAGAAAATTTATTGGGTTTTTTCAAACATTTATTCTTTGGTTGTTTTGAGGTAACAAAAATTATATTTATTAAACGGTTTTAAGAATTAAGAAAAATTTACAACTCTGATATAAGGGATAAATTAGGGATCGCGCTATAATTAATAAATTTGGGGAAATGGGAAAGGGAATAATGATTGGGTTTAATCATAATAATACCATTTTATGATTACATACTACGTATGACAATTATTTTCAGGTTCATTCGATTGCAAAATTTAAAGTAATTTTGTTGACTTTAAGTTACACTACTAATCACAATAATAATAATTGATGGGAATGGCAATTCGGGAATGAAGTGATGAAGAATAGAAGATGAGTTGATAAATTTTAGGCCGATTGTTTGCGAATATCGTGGAAGCTAGCGGGTCTAAGAGAGAACATCAAGAAGCTTTTTTCTGTGGGAAATAGACATTTTTATAGAAAACATCTCTTGATGAATATTTCTAAAACCACACGTTTGTGGAATATTCGGTAAATAATCTGACTGTCATGTTTAGATTTATCTATTTTTATCACTTCACTACTGACAAATGACACTGAATGGAGTAAACAGATAAATATCCTCGTGAAAATTTTTTTCTCAATAGAATTTTTCATCATTTGTTGTCAAACAGAGAAAGATTAAATTTGACTATGAAACAACTGAAGACCCAATTTCTGGGAAAAAATATTTTCAACAAAAATTGAATTTTTAACCTAGCAATGGATTTATAAATAGTTCAATCATGATCTTTTCAATTTCTCCCTTTACTTCACTCACAAATCTTCAATGACTAAAATGAATTGAAAATTTCCTGTCCTTTCTTTGGATCCATCGATTGTAAATCGACATCGACTGGTGTTCCAACAGCCTCAGACGTTTTCAACTCGTTGGAAACAATTGTCATTTGATTCTCGTTACATTTGTATTCGTCAGCACCGCCGTCACTGAGGGGATTGTTTTGTGGAGAGTTTTCAGGTTTGCCTTCCATGTCTAAGGATTGAACTGTCGTCAGGGTGCTCCACCACGTCGTGAAGGCACCCTTGGCTTGAGAGAGAGCTCCACCTAATCCAATGATTTTTATGAAATAATCAGTAGTGAAGTAAAAGAGATTTGGCGAAAGAGAAAATCGTTTTCGATTATATCATTCAATGATTTTTCGTTTACATCGCTTATTATTGAGATAATTCGATAGTGAACAATTCAAATAAGTGAGTGCTAGTGATTTATGTTAACTTTTATTTTGTTATGGTGAAATTGAGAATTTTTTCGGTATTTACCAACGGCTTTTCCGGTCGTGGCCACTGCTCTTCCGGTTGTCGCCATCGCCTGATTTATTTTTCGCCCTGATTCCGTGTTTTGCATCGTGCTGAAAGAGTCATTTTGGATTGATTATTTCATCAAAGTGACCGAAGGAGAAGATTAGGGAAGCAGTTAATCCAACTTATTCAAAAGTAATTCGGTAGTAATTTGAAAATACTTAACGACTCGATCATCTAAATTTTGAATCATGTTTTTGAATATGGAATGATTAAGATAATGAGTGATTTTGGAAGAAAATTTTAGGAGGTAGTGAGCACAGTAGGAAACGTCTAGTCTCCAATATGAACGTGTCATTAGTAAAAAATTGGAGAAGTTGTGATTTATTATTCGGAGATAAATGCCTGTTCCATTAAAAAATATTTACACATTTTGCAAAAATCAAGTTCTTTCCTTCTCGAGAAAATTTACAAATTTTTTGGGCTGTTGGAGAGAAATATCAAACCAACTTTTCGGATAATTCAGAACTAATAATTGTAATGAAGATTTCAATCATTTGATGGTGAGACTCCAGCAAGAAAGATAAAAGTAGATAATAATGGAAAAAAAATACACTAAATTCAATGGCCAGAAGAAAACGGGGGGACCCAGGCAAATAATAAGGATATTGAAATCCTAATTAGAGTGCCTGCATTCAGAGAATATTATCTATTTTATTTCTTAACAATTAACTTCGTTTCGTGGGTAGAAATTTTCATCAACATGATGGAAATCGATCTATCTATTAATATTAGGAAATATGTCTCCTCTCTTTAAAATGGAAAGAATGGAAGGGAGAAACAGGAGAGATTGGATGCTGGTGAACAATAATGAGAATTCTTTATATCTTCTCAATTACATTGTTGAATTATCATTTTCGAGCCCGAATTTTTCCAACCGTGTATAGTTCCATGGATGTTAACAAGCCTTCTGGTTAGTTTTAAATAAGCAATTACTAAAGACCCAGTCGTCAGTTAGTGAAGATGAAAACTCCAGAACTAACGGATTTACTTGACTGCTGTCATGATTCCTCTAATTTATGGATGACTTTCTTGGCCTTGTAATATCCAATTATGGCTCATCATTGATGATATTTCAAGGACAAATTACGATCACTTTACCATATCGTCCGAAGGAATTTATCGTTAATTTTCTTCCAAGAATAAACCTCCAAAATATGACATTGAATGCAATTTAATTATGAATACTTTTTCTTACTGTGATAATCTGAGCTTCATGTCTTGAACAGAGAGCTGGCCAGCAAATGGATGTCCAGGTTCCACCGAATTAATCTCATTCTTCAAACAATTTTCCCAAGATTGATAATTATTCGTCGCCTTCCAAGCAGCCATGAAAGCGCCATTGAAATGGTCAGATTGTCTCGTATCCTGTTGAATCGAAGTCCTCAATAAACTCAGTAGATACACCCGGAATTGTGTTCTGATCCACTCGTCTCCACCCTCCCATCCCACTCCATCCAAAAATACATCCTTTCGTGGCTCGGCCACGTGTCTCACAACGTAATCAGCGAATCTTAGGTCTTCAGTCGTTAAATGAAGGAGTCTCCTTAATTCTGGGTCGGTTGCTTCAATTCTCCCACTTTCCACCTGAAATAATTTCAACAATTGAAGCACAAAGTATCAAAATAATTTCCCACGGAGGAGTTACGGGGTGGTTCGAGTTGTAACTTCTAATCGTTACATTCTTGAAATGGCATGATAAAATAATGTTATGCAATCATTCATTTCAGGAATTATCGATCAATAGTTTAAATTCAATGTTTGACTCGACTGTGGTTTAACGACGAAAAAGTCGATAATTATTTCTTTCCTTTGATACGTCCTAATATTTCATTTTGGAAATTGTTCGGGTGAATTACCTCAATCAATACGTCAATGAGTTGTTTCTTTTGTTTAAAAAGAATATTTGTGGCTCCGACGATGTATCCGCGAACGTTAGTGTCTCCTAGAAGATCGAGGTAAGGGAGAGATAGGTATGGCAGGCATAAGTACCCCTGAAAACAATAATTTCAAATTTTTACAATAGGACATACGACGAGGACAAAAAACTGAGGATGTACAAGCCGATTGGTAGCAATTTTCATTCTCTTTCGAATTTTTAAGTATCCGATAATGGGCAATTCTTTTGTGGACACTTTAAAGATTTTTGGCTGAAGCTTCCAGTTCACTTTTTGACAATTTTTACCAAAGTGACATTCTAAGGAATTTCATGATTGCCCATCGGAGTACTTCATTCTTTGCAACAGCAGCAATTCGATCAACAATTACATGAACAAAGGTAAACAAAGGTTCGATAAAACTATTTTGCTGTCAACAACGCCCATAATTTGAAAACTGTCCATGTTCATCATTATCTGCATCCAATCCAGATTGGACTGACGATCTTTTTATTTGATAAATGAGATAAATGAATGACTCGAAATCGTTCAGTTTCATTTCTCAAAGAAATCTTCCTAAATCGAAGTGAATGAATCATCAACCAACAATAGAAAAGTTTCCTTGATTTTTAATCACTGAATCAATTGTTACTCAGATAATCACTCAATTGATCATTTCACTTCTGTATCTCCGTAGTCGAACTCAATGAGATAGAAGGTGATCAATAAAATGACATTGTCTTTTGTACTTTTCCTTATTCTTCTCACCTCACTGAAGAGATTCATAGGTAATCCACACTCCTCTGGATTAACATGTGCCATCTGCGTGATATTGGACGTGACCCTTGCCTCAGAAAGAGCATCGCTACTCGTATCTCTGGGCAAAACCCCATTCTCGCCTACACCGAAATTACCATTATTTGTCTGAACCCGATGAACATTCTCCTGTCCCTTAATCGAATTCTCTTCTTCATTCGTGGATTCCTGGTTTAAATCTCTGCCCTCAGTCGTGGATTCCACCTCAATGACCTCCAGAGTCGGCACATTTTCCCGGCCGTTACTATTTTTCCGTGACAATTTAGAGTTTATTGAGTTCAGGGACTTTCCCTCCATCGTCTCAAGAGTTTTATTGTCATTCAGGAGGAGAGGCTGATCATTAGTTCCATTAGATTTTAGGGGATGAGACTTGTCATCATTTTTTCCTTGCACTTTTTCTGTTTCTTTCGAGTTTAGGGAATCCTCTTCACTCTCGAATGTAGGAATTGGAGACATTGGACGCGATGGCTTGACGCATGCAGCTCTCGTGAGGCCACTTTCAATCATTCCAGGGTGAAGAGAAAGAAGGGTGAGTATTGCCGCACAGAGAGGTTGCACTGGTGATTGATAAAAGACGACTCTCTTCTCTAATAATAGAAGTTTGAACAGTAGCAGGGCTTTATGTCGAAATTGGAGGATAAAATCTCTTGCTGATAATCCTAGGACATGAAAAGAAAATCCATCGACATTAAAATTTAAATACGAAGTGGTGAAACAGTGGTGAGTTTTTGAAGTAAATAGCTTCAAATCGACAAAAGACCACTAAAATCCTCTTTAAAGCATTTTTGACCTTTCACTTATCTCTACAAAGAATCTGCAAGAAAATTATGCGATTTCTCTTGAATTTTGAGATATTTTCGGAAATAGATCTCTAAGTGGAATTAAATCCATTCATCCAAATTAATTTTCTTTCAGTTGATAGACAGGGATTTTCATATCCTTCATGTTGATAAACATTTTATTCTATCAACCGGAATCGATTATTCAGAAAAAACAAATAATATAAATTTCATTCAGCCGTTGGTATGAAGTTATATGGGGTCAAATATCAGTATTATATCCGTCTGGGTAGTTCGAGTTTTGCATTCCGTATATTTTTCAACAGTGGGTGAATTTTTAACTTGAAAATTCATCCCATTAAAGCCACTATATAAGAAAAAATTGTTTATTTTATTTTGTGAAAAGTACTGCAACTAATATTTCTTCATCATCCGCAATGTTGGTTTCATATATTCCCCCAGTAGTCAATAAAATTACAATTGTATTCTCCAACATAAGAAAATTCGATTTTCGGAAAATGGATGAACATTTTCAACTCATGATATTTTTACATATCATCGGAATAAAAATTGGGATTTCTTTATTGGAAAAAAAAAAATCTATTTGAATTGCTTACCAACGAATACTTGAGGTGGAATTTGACTGTCTCCCCTCATACAAGCGTTTAAATGTCGAAAGGTGTCTTCCAGCAGTGAAACCTTACTGAAATCTCCTTCGTCGAAATAGGCATGTGTAATAAGTGACATTTTCACCTGAATGTGTCCATAAAGGGGTAATGTACTCAAAACACAGACTGATTTTTGTACTGTCCCTCTGGTGATATCTGATGTACGATTTTTCAGCTTCTGCAAAAACAAATTATAATTATCACATAATAATAATCTGATAAAATTTTTCATCGCTGATTTGAATTTTTTGCTATTTTTTTATGTATTCTATGAAAATGTGAGGATAGGATTTAAATTTATGAGTATTGGTTTATTATTCGAAAAAATATATCAATTTCAAAATTTTCCCTAGACATTGAGAAAGTATAAATTATGTTTTCGTGTTGATCTCGTTTCTCTTCCTCTTTCCACTTGCTTCCATCAGGAATAGATAATAGAAACAAAATACATTGGTTTTCCTTCATTATTATAAATTATGTTCTCTCTTTGCAATTTTCTTCTTCGGTTCCATTGAAATCNACGACGAGGACAAAAAACTGAGGATGTACAAGCCGATTGGTAGCAATTTTCATTCTCTTTCGAATTTTTAAGTATCCGATAATGGGCAATTCTTTTGTGGACACTTTAAAGATTTTTGGCTGAAGCTTCCAGTTCACTTTTTGACAATTTTTACCAAAGTGACATTCTAAGGAATTTCATGATTGCCCATCGGAGTACTTCATTCTTTGCAACAGCAGCAATTCGATCAACAATTACATGAACAAAGGTAAACAAAGGTTCGATAAAACTATTTTGCTGTCAACAACGCCCATAATTTGAAAACTGTCCATGTTCATCATTATCTGCATCCAATCCAGATTGGACTGACGATCTTTTTATTTGATAAATGAGATAAATGAATGACTCGAAATCGTTCAGTTTCATTTCTCAAAGAAATCTTCCTAAATCGAAGTGAATGAATCATCAACCAACAATAGAAAAGTTTCCTTGATTTTTAATCACTGAATCAATTGTTACTCAGATAATCACTCAATTGATCATTTCACTTCTGTATCTCCGTAGTCGAACTCAATGAGATAGAAGGTGATCAATAAAATGACATTGTCTTTTGTACTTTTCCTTATTCTTCTCACCTCACTGAAGAGATTCATAGGTAATCCACACTCCTCTGGATTAACATGTGCCATCTGCGTGATATTGGACGTGACCCTTGCCTCAGAAAGAGCATCGCTACTCGTATCTCTGGGCAAAACCCCATTCTCGCCTACACCGAAATTACCATTATTTGTCTGAACCCGATGAACATTCTCCTGTCCCTTAATCGAATTCTCTTCTTCATTCGTGGATTCCTGGTTTAAATCTCTGCCCTCAGTCGTGGATTCCACCTCAATGACCTCCAGAGTCGGCACATTTTCCCGGCCGTTACTATTTTTCCGTGACAATTTAGAGTTTATTGAGTTCAGGGACTTTCCCTCCATCGTCTCAAGAGTTTTATTGTCATTCAGGAGGAGAGGCTGATCATTAGTTCCATTAGATTTTAGGGGATGAGACTTGTCATCATTTTTTCCTTGCACTTTTTCTGTTTCTTTCGAGTTTAGGGAATCCTCTTCACTCTCGAATGTAGGAATTGGAGACATTGGACGCGATGGCTTGACGCATGCAGCTCTCGTGAGGCCACTTTCAATCATTCCAGGGTGAAGAGAAAGAAGGGTGAGTATTGCCGCACAGAGAGGTTGCACTGGTGATTGATAAAAGACGACTCTCTTCTCTAATAATAGAAGTTTGAACAGTAGCAGGGCTTTATGTCGAAATTGGAGGATAAAATCTCTTGCTGATAATCCTAGGACATGAAAAGAAAATCCATCGACATTAAAATTTAAATACGAAGTGGTGAAACAGTGGTGAGTTTTTGAAGTAAATAGCTTCAAATCGACAAAAGACCACTAAAATCCTCTTTAAAGCATTTTTGACCTTTCACTTATCTCTACAAAGAATCTGCAAGAAAATTATGCGATTTCTCTTGAATTTTGAGATATTTTCGGAAATAGATCTCTAAGTGGAATTAAATCCATTCATCCAAATTAATTTTCTTTCAGTTGATAGACAGGGATTTTCATATCCTTCATGTTGATAAACATTTTATTCTATCAACCGGAATCGATTATTCAGAAAAAACAAATAATATAAATTTCATTCAGCCGTTGGTATGAAGTTATATGGGGTCAAATATCAGTATTATATCCGTCTGGGTAGTTCGAGTTTTGCATTCCGTATATTTTTCAACAGTGGGTGAATTTTTAACTTGAAAATTCATCCCATTAAAGCCACTATATAAGAAAAAATTGTTTATTTTATTTTGTGAAAAGTACTGCAACTAATATTTCTTCATCATCCGCAATGTTGGTTTCATATATTCCCCCAGTAGTCAATAAAATTACAATTGTATTCTCCAACATAAGAAAATTCGATTTTCGGAAAATGGATGAACATTTTCAACTCATGATATTTTTACATATCATCGGAATAAAAATTGGGATTTCTTTATTGGAAAAAAAAAAATCTATTTGAATTGCTTACCAACGAATACTTGAGGTGGAATTTGACTGTCTCCCCTCATACAAGCGTTTAAATGTCGAAAGGTGTCTTCCAGCAGTGAAACCTTACTGAAATCTCCTTCGTCGAAATAGGCATGTGTAATAAGTGACATTTTCACCTGAATGTGTCCATAAAGGGGTAATGTACTCAAAACACAGACTGATTTTTGTACTGTCCCTCTGGTGATATCTGATGTACGATTTTTCAGCTTCTGCAAAAACAAATTATAATTATCACATAATAATAATCTGATAAAATTTTTCATCGCTGATTTGAATTTTTTGCTATTTTTTTATGTATTCTATGAAAATGTGAGGATAGGATTTAAATTTATGAGTATTGGTTTATTATTCGAAAAAATATATCAATTTCAAAATTTTCCCTAGACATTGAGAAAGTATAAATTATGTTTTCGTGTTGATCTCGTTTCTCTTCCTCTTTCCACTTGCTTCCATCAGGAATAGATAATAGAAACAAAATACATTGGTTTTCCTTCATTATTATAAATTATGTTCTCTCTTTGCAATTTTCTTCTTCGGTTCCATTGAAATCAGATCAAAGGGATGTAAAATGTTCATATTCGTTCACATTTTCAGATCATTCGTAGTAATTAATTTAAAGAAAAAGAAAGAAATGAAAAATTTTAGGTATGATTATCAATAAATTGCTTGTCGATCTGTATTCTCACGCGATTTATGGGGAATTCCTCTTCATTCAATGCTGTAACTTGTGAATTAAGGAACAAAAACATATATAATAACAATAAGAATCAATCAAATTAAATTAATCTAATTGTGAAGACGGAAATGGAAAGAAAATAAAATAAAGTAACATAGTGTAAACTAATCTAGTAAAAAATGAATATTCGAAAAATTCAGAATCCAGATTTATTTCACAATACTTTATCACTGGTATTAGGCTGAGGAGTTATCAGGAAATAATGACTCACCTCGACTGGTATCTGGCGGAAACATGAGACCCCGTAAACAGTTTTATTGGGATGTGTGATGCTTGGCAAATGAAAATACACTGTATCTTCATCGTAATTATGAGATCCATCAGGTAGGGCAAGGGTTGGAAGGTATTTCCAACCTAGAGGACATTCGTTTGGGGAACCTGGAACTAGTGGGGGAAATGAATACTCCACCTGAGAACAATGATTTCAAAAGGGTATTAGTGGAAAATTTTCATTTTCTTTTTCAATACTACCCTACATTAAATTGGCCAGAAAATGTGTAACGAAATAGGAAAGAAATGGAAAAATGAAATAAGGTGATGTTTCATTTTGCACATTGGATGCAAACATTAATATTTTATTATGCAAATGTGAATGAGTTGAATTAATGGTAACACTATACTTATGTGACCCAAAACTAATTTGAGATTGATGAGTATATTCAATGAACATCTTTCAATCTAAAGATATGAAGATATTTCCATAGGAACCCTAGAGCTAGCAAGAGGGTTTTTAGAGATGGGTTAGATTTTATTCATTTTTCATTCCGGGCAATTTTCCAAGGCTTTTCAATACCCACAAGAATCAGAAAGAAATTAAAAATATGCATATAAACAATATGATATAAATACACAAATGTGAGATTGTTCATCGTATCTCATATTTATGAGATCTCGTTAGATTAGCTTAATTTTCCACCTTTGTGAACCTTTACAAATTGATTTCTTATAGAAATGAAAAATACACAAAAAATTCTGGTAGGGTAAGCTAGCCAGTAGATGGACACTGCCCTATAGATGGACGAGCTACTTTTGGATAGGAAATTACGCAAAAAAATACTGAAATGTGAATTGTTGCTTTGAATTTCCACTAACTGATGTGATTGTTAACCCCTGAGTGACGATTTTTTTTCGATCAATTTTTTTTTCAATTGCTAAAAAACAAACGTCCATCTACTGGGCGGTTTTCTCAGGCGTCCATTTACTGGGCAGTTTACCCTATACTTCCAGAATCTCGAATACAGAATTTCATGCAGCACTCACATATTCTCACTATAAACAGGATGATAGATGAATGAAAATTATTCTATGACTGAAATGCTGACATAATTTGTTAAAAAATTGAATTGAATTTGCAACTCTTCGTAGAAAGATTCAACGAAAAATATCTGCATGACTCCACAAATTTTTGATAAAAAATTTCAGACTGCAGTGTTACATTTCTAGTGATACAAAATCATGGAATGTTCTCTTATCAAAATCAATTTCAAAATAAAAATCTACAATAAAATTCCAGTTCGTTTGAAATACCAATTCATTTGAAATTATCATAAGTTGTCGACTGAATGAGATTTTTAAGTTTTAATTTGACTATTAATTGTTTATGACACATTTTGAAGTAGAAAAGAGTGAAGGAACGCATTCAATAGGTTAATGGGAACTATAATCAGTAGATAATCGTATTGTCATAAAAAAATAGACCAGAAATACTAAAATAGTTTCAAACATTTTATTTCCCCATAATACTCCATCATATGTAAAGCTTATTTTTTTAATCTATTCAAATCACAAAGTTCGATAAACAAAAATTGGATGGGCAGAAATAAATGTGGATTGCTCCACAAAATTTAAGTGCAAAATTCCACAAAACATTCACACATTCTTGCGAAAACAACAACCATAATTTTAAAAAAAGGACAAAATTCTCCGAAAACGAAGAAGATTCTGTTAATAAAAATCCGCAATGATATTCAAATTGACAGAATTGGTATGTTCATGATCTGTGGAGTAGCTTGAACTGTATGTTGGATGGATTCTGGAGTACAAGACCCTGAGGAAGGTGAATCCAGAATATTTTCATTGCGATAATAAGTCAGCAAAAAATACGATAACAACGTGAAGAAAAATTGATGAACATGATAACTCACTTGACAGCCCTTCTTGTGATGAAATCCGACGACAATGACGTGAAGAATCGGCCCCGCAGGCTCACCCATCGTTGATGATTCAAATTAAGCAACAATTATTACAATTCCACTGTTTATTGGTGTTTACACCTATTAATCATCCGAATTTTCATCTTTAAGAATATGAAAACAGAATATCACACACACTTGTGTATTACACACTGGTGGCGTTTTCTTTCCACCCGATAACTGATCATCGAACCAGCTGTCATGCGCCATGACAATATTACGCGGGATCATTGCCACCAACATTTGAAAAATTAACGAATAAAATCAAATTTCCTGTATTTGGTGTGTTCCGCAATCGAGGTAGTTGCAGTAACAGTACTGCAACCCTATCCAATTTTGCTTGACTGCAGCTATAGTAGTTGATTCCGGAACGCACTTATTGTCATTGTGTGATAATTTTTTAAATCAAAGATTTTTCTCATGCAATTCTTGGATCAACGTTTTGAATGAATTAACCAATTTTGCTTCCGAACGGAAGCCTTGTAATCGTTCACCTTTAAGTTTTCCATTTTTCGTGTTATATCGACCCATTATGATTCAAAAAGTCCGAAAATGCCATTTTTAGACCGTGTCGGTGCGTATGTAATAGTACATTTCAGGTCCCGTGACACGAAAACAAATTTTTCGTCACGGCGTAGGCAGAAAGGCAGATTTTCCTCCCGCGAAGCGGAAAGGACACATTCTCCTTTCCGCCTGCCGTGACAAAAATTAATATACACACCTCGCCATGGAAAACATATCACCCTCCCCCACGTGCTTGCCATCCTTGTTTTTGGCTTGGAAGGCAATCTTGCACGTGGGGGACGGTGATCTGTTTTCCAAGGCTCGGGCATGTAATGTACTATTTCTTCCATTCTTTGCTACTGAATCCATGGAATTGAATCTTTGTTTTTCCTCAAATGTAGGTATTGTTGAGCCCTATCAATCGCCATTAATTAAAATTGGATTCATTTATTAATTTTTAAAATTTTTAAAAATTTTCAAAAAATGTTTTTTTCTCGATAACTAAAAAAAAATGTTCTGAATTGATTGAATGATGGCTTAAAAAATTTGTTTGGATGTCTTTTTGACAGAATTCGAAGATGAAGGCGATAGCAATAATCGCTATTTTGATCTATTTGAAAATTTGCAACAATTCTGTGTTTTTAAAAAATCAGAATTCCCGATATATTTTTGGATATCATGCTTCAAATGAATTCAATCATAGCTGAAAACGTTTGTTTTAATGCCATTAAGTCGAAGTCAGAGGATGATTACGATAGCTATATTGGTTGATCTGATTTTTATGATGATTTTTTAAAATTTCGAATTTTTCATGAAGGTCCCTGAAAGTGAGCTTTCTGATGGTTTCTTCAAATGCGATGTTTAAAATTCATTCAATTATGTATAAATAACATTTTTCTAATTACATTTTATCGAAGGGCTGAGGGGGAGAGATAGAACTGTGGAAAAGACAATTGGTTGTATAGACGAAAGGAATAATAAGAATAAGGATGATAATATCTTTCAACTATGTTGAAAATCTGACAATTAGTTGAAAAGAAATCTTATTCAATTTAATAAAATGAAATAAAAAATGAATTATACATGGTAGAAGGAAATTATGTGCAAAATAACCATTCGGAAGCATATTGCTAATTTCTTAGAAATAATAACTCTACTATATTCAATACAAGAGTAATTTCCTACTTGTTTAATAAATTTTGATTTTTAAATCTTACTCAGCACTTTAAAGTGATGAAAATTTTTCGTTAGAAAATCAGAAAAGTGTCAAGGCGTAGATTATCCTGGTCTTATTAAATTATGCTTATTGTATATTAGTATCGATGTCCCCGCATTCATTCGTTTTTGAGAATTGTTACTTTCCGACCCAAAGGTAGAATTATACAAACATTTTTGAAGAGATGTTCGTATGTGTGTGCGTATCTATGCACATAAGAGCGAATCCACCAATTCAGTATATAAAAAATTGCCTTCAAATTTTTGAAGCTTTTTTAAATCAAAAAGTATACTCTAAAATAAGAAAAATGAATGCAACCAATGTTCTCCAACTCAATTATCGGAGGAGATATTCAAGATTATTTTTGTTTTTTTTTCAAAAACTTTTTTTTTCAATTCTAATTACCAGCCACTAAGAACAACAAAAAATTTTGAACCCGGAGTTTTGTGCGACCTTTTCTCAACTTTTAAAAAGAAATATAGTTTTTTTCTTTTCTTTTTTTTTTCATCGTAAAATTCAGAACATTTTCTACCCAACACCTATTTTTATTTTTGGTGCTTTAAAAAATTTAGAGGTAAAATGGAGAGGACAACAAAATTTAGTCATAAAAAAAATAGCTTTTTGAAAATGTCTCGGAATCTAAAGGAGATATAGAAAATGGAATAATCTTTTAAAAGATCATCTTCAAATTAAATTGGCAATTACTTTTTTTCGCAAAATCTCTGGTTTGAAGCAAAATACCGATTTCTAGATAAAGACCTTTCTTGTAGTGCAAAACGTGATCCACAAAAAATGTTATTACAACAATCCCTTTATCTCTTTTGCATTCCGAGATATTGTTCAAAGAGCAATTTTCGGATTTGAGTGACATACCTTGTTCTACTTTTTCACTACTGATTAAATCCTTGTTTCAATTGTCATTCTGATAATAGCTCATCAACATCACTTGCGAACGAATTTACTAATGTTTTGTTTACGGTCTGAAACTTCGAGAACGGTGCACTGATAGAATGATTCATTTATAAATGAAAGCTCTTTTGATTTTTTGAAATAAAATGCATAACAATTGAGTTATAAATGTTCAAATGCAAGTTTAGTTGTCATTCACTCAAATTTTACAATTGCTATAACTGACAAAAAAAAGTCTTCATGGGAAAGATTATTGTTGGCCCTCCCTCTGCAAGATATGAAATTTTCATAAAAAAAAAAAAATTCCTCCGTTGAAATAGCGTGGAATGCCCCTTATTCCAAACGAGACTCGGTAACTATTAACGAATTGTAGAGTTGAATATGGCCAAATAAATATTCGTTAATAGTTAACGAATGGTTTACTTGAAAGGTGAAAGCCGAGTCAAACAAGGCTTCTCAAATATGGATTTGTTAACTATTAACGAATGAACATTTGGTGAGATCGAATAGACCCTCGTCTCCAGCCAAATCCAATAGTTAGTAATAACTAATCCTTCCTGTCAGTGTGTAGACTATCATAACATATTCTTGACGCAAAATTCCTCCAATTATTTGTAGTCAGAGATTTTTCCATCACTTTGTCCATAGAAAAAAAAACACAAATCAAATTGAAAAAACATTTTCCATGGTTCGAGTCATTACCGGAGGTTGTGCCTAAGTGGCTCTTGGAGTGTGAGAGGCACTTCTGTTTTGGACTTTTATTTCTCAAATATAAGATGATCCGTTTTTTGTCGTTAAGTTATAAATTCTACTATTAAATTTAATAGTATTCATTTTATCAGTAAATTTTTCTTGTAAACTAATATCGAGAATCATCCTGGTTTCCCTCCTACCTACTCCAAAAAATCCTATCCAAGAATATCCTGTGACATCATGAGGTGGGACGCTGCATAAACTCCCGTTTTCTATGAAAAATGTCAATAGAAATTCGTCTTTAATAATTTTGTTATTAAAGACAAATTTCCATTTATTTTCATGTGATAATAGGAATTCAAGAAGAGGGAGAAAACAATTAAAATATGCTCCTAGGTATCCAGAAGATGTATCCCTTGACGTTTCATCACCCTATGAACTACTCCAATTCCGAGCTAAACTTAAAAGAATGATTTAACGAAAACCAATACTTTATTACATCGTCAAAGAAATTATATACAAATGACGTTAGTTTAATCTCTATAATGATTCTTAATTATCTTAATATGAAAACAAATTTCAAAGAATGAAAATGTAAACATTTTTCATTGTCATGAGGACCCAAAAAGGGTAATTAAATATTTTTGCACTTTATTTTTCAAATTCACTGATCAAAATATCACAACTTACTATTATCCAGGGGCTGAGTGACGTTAATTTTTGAAAAATAAATAAATCAATTGGCAATGAACAGTTTGATCGAGGTACAAGATGTCACTTTGCGAATTTTAAGCTCCAAAATTCAGAAAACTCAGTTTCCTCTGTTATTAAGGAGATTCCGCACGTTTTCAATCCCATTCAGTACGTCATCTGTGACTTTAAAGATGGTTTGTCCTTAGAGACATTGACGCAGGGACGTAATTGTTTTCAGCTGCTCACTGCTGACGGCCTCATAGCCGATATTCTCCACTTAGTTATGGAGAAGATGAAGAATTGTTGTTTTTTAAATTAGTCTTTAATAGTGAGATGATTCGTCAGCCTTGCTACCTTCGTACGTTGAAGCCGCGAGTCCCATCTGGGCCAAGAGGCATCCGAGTTATATTTGTTGAATTATGGAGGGACATTGGAGGATTTTCAGGCAAAAGTTTCGACTGAATTTTATTTATTTCATTTGAGGGCTTTTCCTCCGGACTTCTTTCTTCCCCTAATATTCTTTTGCGAGCTTCTGCGTATTCTTGTTCCCTCTGGAAAATCAAAGGATTTTCGGGTCATTATCTATAATTTTTCAAGGATTTCGTGTGACAAAAATTATAGTTTTCGAAATTTGGGAGAAAAATTGAGGATTAATTGTAATTGAAATATGAAAAATGGATGGAAAATATCAGATCCGTATTCTTTGGTTTTGGAAAATGAAAGAAAAATTCATCGCCAGTGAAATTATTGCCTATGCAGACGTTTTCAATTGCCCGTAACTTATTGATTTTCATTACTTATTGAAACGGAAAAATAAGTTTTTAAAGCCCGGGCACATTATCAAATAGTTTCGAACTGCCAATTAACAATCATGAATGGATAATTAAAAAGTAAGCAGAATAAAATCAAAACTTTTTCAAAGAGTTCTCAATTAATATTGAAAGATGAGTTTACTAAAGTGAAACTAGCCTATGAATGGGAAAAGGATTGAAATTAAAAATCAAGATGAAGAAGGATTAACTTGTAAATATCTTTTGGCGCCTTGCAGATGCCCAAATACCACGAAAAACGTCTTGTAGAGAGCTTTATGCTTTGATGATGGTATAACTCACCATCCAACTGGTATTGGATACCACAAACTTTCATTGAGAGCTGACAACTGATGACAGTTGATGTACACCGAAATTTTTATTGGAGGTATACGCCAGGAATTTTCATTTTTCCATGTGAAAGTGCAATTAAGGATTTTTTGTGAGTAATATTGAAAATCTTTTTAGAGAGCGTTTTTGGGGGTAATTGTTTGTATGCAGTTTGACGAAGTTTTTATAAGTTCATCCTTCTCTGTCATGATATAAATTTTTTTTTTTTAATTCCCTCATTATTCAACTTGCATTCCAATATCAGAAATAACTCTCTGTAAAAAAAATTAGCATTTGCAAAGGTTGTAGTTTAATTATTTATTTATTTGAATCCCGGTCCCGCAGGTATATTCCTATGGCAGGGTGGATACAAAGATTTTTAAACAATTGAAGATGTGATGGATTGGCAGTTAGAAACTTTAAACATTGGCGACTTTATAATATATTCCAGCGCTGACTGAATTCTTATCTCAAATTTGGTATTTGGTTGTTTCTTAGATTATCTTATTTTGTCAATACTTATCTTGGGGAGAGAAAGAGCGCCTCTTAACCGTGACAAGGTTTAAAGAATAATCAATTCATTTTGAACGTTGTCCAGAAAATGAGTCATCTATGAAAGGTTGTAGTTTATATTTAAGATTATAATACAAATAAAAACCACTATTTGAATAACGTTCGAAAGATGATAAGCAGAGCTTAAAAAATTGTACGTGATTTTGATGTGAAAAAAAATCTCAATTGAACCCCAATGGATCAAACAAATGAGCTTTCAAAGAGTTTTCATGTTCGCTCTAGGTCGAGACTTAATACAAACTTCACATCAAACGTTGACTCGTTTCATTAGAATCAAGATGGATACGCATTTAGCAAATGATTATGTACACTCTCCCGAATTAAAAAACAGAATGATTGGAAGAATCGATGTGCAAATGATTACTGGATTTTTAATTACTACGAATGCATTGTGAGGAATTCCCTGAGAAGGGATGTCCAGCAGGGAATTTCTTTGGGTATAAAGAGATGTTTGCAAATTAATATGTGGGGAACTATATCAAGCATGGCAACGACTGAGTAAAAAATAACGCCGTTAATAAAAATGAAATGAAAAATTTAACATTAGTTTAAGGCCCGAGTAGATTATCTTTCGAATGTGATCTTGATTGTGTTTTTTTATTTTGATAATCAGAAATGATCTCCAATTGCTATCCAGTTTTACATAGGAGAGTCCAGAGTGTCTCTGGAGTCTCCAAAAATTATAGTTCTACAATCAAAAAAACGTTGAAAAAAAAGCGGAACATTTTCAAAGAGCGTTTTTGAATAATATTGGGAAATAAACCCAATAGGGAGGAAATTGCAAATTAATAATTTGATATATCTGATGGCTGTTAGGTCGTCATTTGTCACAGTAGTCAATAGCTGTTAGATCGTTAGTTATCATTATAAATTATCGATTCACTATTTCCTCTCTATCGGACTCATTTCTTAATCTTTATTAAAAACACCCTTTGAAAATGTTCAGTTGTTTTTTCTACTTTTTTTAATTGTACAATCATAATCTTTAGGGATTTCTGTGTGATGTAAAACCCAATGGAAATTGAGATATATTTTACATTATGAAGATGGAAAAACAATCGAGATAACGTTCGAAAGATAATCCACCGGATTTTAAACCGGTGCTTAGAGGAGATTTGCTACTAGAAAAATGTGGGCCCTCTTCATCCACATATATGTGATTCTTGTATTTATATTTTTTCTAATTGTTTAGTGGTTGAAAACAAACGAATTTCTGTGCGAGCAATAAAGGATAATATTTCTAATTTAAAGATTTGTGTTGTGGGAATGATTATTTTGCTATTTACCTGTTTTAATGATTTAATTGGTTGCTTTGGTTTATCCCCGTTAGTTAAGGCACCTTCCCCATTGCCTCTTGCATCTCTCTGAGGCCTTTTGAGGATTTTAACTGCGGGTTTCGGGGGAACGTACTGCGAACGCATTCCATCTTCACCCAGTATTATCATCTGACCGTTGGTATTTCTATTGCTCACCAAACTGTAGATTTATTCAAAATTCCAGTGTAATTATCAATGAGTACGACTTCCAGAATACAAATTAAATGACTCACGTTGGTGTTTGTCTGTCTTCGAGGGGGTCCAAAGGGTCAAGCTGAAGAGCGTTGAGTTTTCTGTCAAGTGCCTGAGATTAGACAAAAATGAAGATTTATGAAATCAAACGTCATCTTTAAATTTCAAACAAGAATTAATTTTATGCGTGAATGAATCAGGAGAAGATTTTTAATTTGATCGCAACTCAATGATTATTGTAATGAAAGATGCATTCTTCTGAAAATGAAAATTAATTAGTTTACCAAAGAATTCATATATTAGTTATAGTGTTGAATATTTTTCAATATAATTGTAAAATCGACATCCATTATTAGAAATCGAATAATCAGTGTAAAATCATTCATAACAATTTTTTTTAAATTTCGACAGTAAAATTTATAGTTCCGTTATAATTGTAACCTTTTCAATCTGAAAACGTCTAAACAACTAAATATCAACTCTGTCAAAATTTTGAATCCGAGTAAATAAATATAATCAATCAAATTAATTTGTCAATTCTAAACAGGAAATTGGACTAATGTTTATGCACGAAAAGGACTGCATAGCGGTGTCCTTATAGTAAAAACTAAAAGTGATGAAAGAAAATCCTTTAGATTATTCTTTTATTGATAATTCTTGAATTATGTTCGAGAGTATTAAAATTAAAATGTAAAAAGTTTTCCTCCGACGTTGACAATATCTATGAACATAACAAGTAATGCATGTTCTATCATTTCTTATTGACAAATAAATAAATAATATTTTTCTGGACTATTGCGATGAGGTTTTTACTCGTGTGGCAAACCACTGGCCAACCATACGAGTAAAACAAACTATCGCAACAGCCCGGGACAAAATTGCTTTGTAGTGATTTTCAAGTTCCCGAGTTAGGGAAGTATGCAATACCAATTAACAGACAAGCAGCACAGAAAAGTAAACTTCTTACTCAGTCTTAGGGTGCGTTTCGGAATCAACTACCGTAGCTGCAGTAAAGCAAAATTAGATAGGATTGCAGTACTGCTACTGCTACTACGTCGATTGCGAAACGCGCCCTTAATGAAATTGAATAATGATAAATTAACTAGTAATTCTTTCATTCGAACAAATTGAGTAGTGAATCAATTTCCATCTAGTGAATAAAATATTTCGTGAAAATGAGATTCAGGGTTGGAATTAATTTGAAAAGCTGTCTAAATCTTTGGATTTCTTTTAGAAATGGAAAATAGTTGTTGGTGGTTAACATTTTGGGGCACAAACGAGTTTAGGACATAAGTAGGATTATTTGGGACTTAATTTATTGAAGACTACACTACCTCGAGAATATACGGAACTTTATTCTTATTGAATGGACATTGACTATTCATTAAGAATAGAATGAATGTAGAGGTCTATATTTTTGCTGACTTCTTCATTCATTTATCTATCAAAAAAATAAAGTTGGATTCTGAAGCACAGTGGTGAATTGTGAGTAATAAAACTCGATACTCCTCCTCTCTGTACAGATTTTCGGGAAATACACAGATTTTCGGGAAATACGTGTTTTTATGGAGAAAATGTATAACAGTAAAATTATGCAATGAAAGGTTTTTTGACAATTTCTCTCAGAATCACTTATAATGGTTACGTTACATAGTCTTGTGTTTAACGAGTTAATTTGTGAGTTGTTCTCTAACGTTTTTTCTTCTCGTATACCCTTTCGGGTTTCTACGATTTGTTTTTGCTCATAGCTCATAGCCCGAATCGGAGCGCATAGCCCTGAAGGTGTTGGGTAGTGCGATAGGAAACTAAGATAATTTCTTTGGTTCAGCAATGGTGGAGGAAGAGAGTGCGTTTGTCTGAGTGAGAGATTTGGGTTCATGTTGAGGATTAGCCGGTTTGCTGACTTTTAGTTGGACTAATTTATTTGGGCATTTCTTCGCTAGGTGTCCCTCTTGTTTACACGACTGACATGTAGTAAATTCGGCCGTGATGAATACGCGAATTTTCTTCTCTTCTACCAACGTCGGAATTCTGGTGAGAAGTTTCTCGACGTCTTCGGCAGTGATGGTTGTCTGTCTTTGTAGGCTTCTAACATGTTTGAGTTTTACGTGTTGGAGATTAGCACTGAGAGTCGTGAAGGGAGTCAAAATATCAATATCACATTTTCGTAACTCGGACTCGAGAAATGTGTTCTCAATTTGTGGGAACACGTGATGGAATGTTATTCTCTTTGTCCTCCTTACGTATGGGCGAATGTGTACAAATTGTTTTGATACGACGAGGTATTTCTTGGAAGCGATGAGTTCATCTACAGTTCGTTTACTATTTCGGAATACCAGGATACGTTTTTTGCATAAGATGGTAGCGTCTAGAATTTTCGAACCTGGAATTACTTGGAGTAAAGCCATGATGTAGTCTTGAAATTCTGCATCCACAGTTTTGTCGATTATAATGGCTTGTTGGTTAGAAGGTTGTTTATCCATTGTGGTAACTTGTGAATAGCTGAGGTTTGAGTTGGAGGTGTCTTGTGGTGATACGATTCCGTTTAGGGACATATTTTGCAATAAGCCCTAAATTTAGAGACTTAACAAATGGAACACTTTTGAACTATTTGTTAAACTTTGTTTTTGTCCCTTTGTGATTCACTTTGAGTTAGAACAATGAGATTTCAATGGTCAACACGTAGAAACATCAGGAGCGTCTGGTGAACACGTCCGACCAGCACGACTCAAGCCGAACTCCGGACTTGCATCCGCGATATCTCTGCAACCATGATAGCTATAAGAAAAAGTTATGAAACAAAATATGTCCACTTTTCGATAAGAAACATTTTTTGTTTGAAACTTTTTCCCCTATAGTAAACCGTTTCTGCGATCTTTCGCTTTAAACAATTAAATTGTTATAAACAAAGAGACTGCCCACGATTTCGCACAAACGGTTCTCATATTCACAATCAGCGACCTCGAAAATATAGAATCCAATAATCAAATCTTCTGGACATCTCAATGGACACAGAAATGCCCCTGACGTATGGACTATATTGAATATTTTCAATAGAAAAAGATATAATAGAATTGAATAGAAAACATTTTATACAACTTCTTCTATTGCGATTTTTTTGCAGGAATTATTCGGCTAAAATTTTTTACTTTTTTTGTTTCTTTTTATGAGAAAGACAAAAATGGAGTGAAAAAAACTTGAGAGAGTTAAATCAAGGAATTCCGATGGAAAATGTCTCAATAGATAAACTTGTATGGGAAGGTCAAACTCTTTTGATTTTTCCTGTAACATATCTTCTGTTATACATTTTCTATAAAAAAAATAAAATTTTTGGAATAAGATGGGTGAAAAACTATTGGAACCTTCAATAGAAATCCAATATATTTTTCTAGCCAATTCGTTTGGTTTTTCCATTAGAACGTTTCTTCCATTTACTAGAATGGGAAATTATTGAGAAGTTTTGACGGGAGAAGATTTCTTTCAATGGATTAATTAAAAAGAATATGAAACAGCAAAGTCCAAAGTCCAAATCAAGGCCCAGGGGGAGATCTAGTGGGGGAAAAAGGAAAATGTGATGCTGAATTTCAATCGAATGAAAAACGAGAAGTGTAATCGGCCTAATCTAATCAACTGAATTATAAGAACAATAGAAAATGATTCTCTTCAATACTTCTAATAATAAAAAAACTAATAAACAAAAGCTAATAAAAAAAATTTTTTTTTGCTTGAATTGCGTCAAATAATAGTTTTTTCGGCTGTTTCATTTTGCCCCACTTTCCCCTATATTATGACTTATTCTCAAGTATTCCTACAACTGAATCATGAATTGAAGAAATTAGGTTTAACTTCTCGAGTTCGCATCCAATTGCTAGAAACTTCTTGAATTAACCCAAAATTTCTTTAAATTCCATGCATTCTCTCCAATTTTCTAGAACTCCCTCAATTATGTCAGATTTTCTAAAAACTCCTTGCATTCTTTTGAATTGTTTAGAAACTCCTTGCATTTCCTCAAAATTTCCAGAAGTTCCTTGAATTTCCTGGAAATTTATAGAAATTTCTTGCAATCCCTGGAATTTTATAGAAACTTTCTATATTCTCTCGAAATTTCTAGAACGTGCTTGAATTCCCTCGAAAGTTCTAGAATGTCAGGTGAAAACTCCTTTATATATAAGATTGAGATTGATGAAACGTTGAATTCACGAAATTGATTAATTATTAGTCATTTGATTAATTATAACATGAAGGGAAAAAATTACAAATGAAAATTTATTAGAGAATGATTTTAATATGGCCGGTCGGGTTGTACCGCGGTAGACTTGTCAGTTCGGTAGGGTTATTCTGCGGTAGGCTAGTCGCTTGGTACGGTTGTTCTGTGGTAGAGTTGCAAGAATACAATATGGGCCATTCCACCAAATATCGGCGGAAATCTGGCCTCAAAATTTTCGACAATTTTTTTTTGCTTCTTCTGAATTCTTATGTATATAAAAGAAGATTTTTCAACGCGTAAAGGTCCCGCGGCTCAATTAGAGGCCGTCCGCATGATTACGAGTTTTAAACTTGAAATTTTTCGCTCTTATAGAACGTATCAAAAGATGCTAAGAAAAAAAATCAAAATATAGTTTTTGATCGGAAATTTTCTGAATTTTCCGAAAATGATGTTCATTTTCTCCCTGCACCCCTCCTCCATCGTGAAAATCGAAAAAGAAACCTCTAAACGTCATTTTTGGCAAATTCGCCATTTTTTTTTCAAATCTGATATTTTATCTCAAAAATTCAGAGAATTTCCGATCAAAATCATATTTGAAACTTGTTCGCTCCTATGATGCTCATCTGCAGAAAAATGATTCTAAAAAAGCGAATATTCGAAAAATAATAATATTGTAGGAAGAAGACGATATTTCCATAGAAGATGATGATATTATAGAAAATAGAGAATGTTTCCATGGAATATGGTCTTGGTTATATGATATTCATCATGACTTGGTTGGCTTCCGGATGGATGCCGCGTTGAGTTTCAGCATTGCGCCGACGTTTCGCAAACATTGCAGTCTGGATCTTCAGGGCTATGAGCTCCGATTCTGAGCTCCGATGTGTGGGGGCAGTCCTTATATACCTTCCCTTGTGGCGGTGGGGGAAGGGGAAGGGGGGGGGG